CGTTGCCCAATTTCCAAACATTAATAAGGACGGCCCCCTTGCAAGACCGTCCCTTAAAAATGAGGACTCACTCGCATATCAAAGAACGCGATCAAATACTATCAACCGCATACCCATAAAAGCGACACTATAAACAAACACACTTAACCTCTTTTTCTCACTGATAGACTGACTTAAGTTTTGAAATTTCACCATATTTTCTGGTTTTTAGTGCATTCTACAGTCAATAAGAATCTTGCGGGAAAGTTGCACTTTTGGTTGATTGGTCTGAACACCACGGAATACCTCTTGATCAGTTGTTTGTCGGCTGAGTGGTTCCCCTGAGGTCACTGTTGCAAACTTCAAACCTAATTTTACCGACTGCGTATTGCACAAACTTAGCTCTTCGAACTTGCAATGTCCGCGGGAGGTCTTGCAGATCGTCATTCATGTGACAACCATGGTTAAAATACCATGTGATGGGAATATCACTGTGTTTTCGCACACTATCTCCTAAGATTAAAACAGATTTGCTGATAAAGAGCTTTTCATTATTCTTCAGTCTCCGTCACTTGCCAATTAAATTAGTTTTCTGATCGACATTAATTATGGTTGGGAATCCATCCCAATAATCCTGAGTAGCAAATACTCCATTTTATGAACACAAGGAACATTTGTCTTTGAGAATTAATTCTCCGAAACACAATAAAAATTGTTGAAATCCCTTTCGTTTGTCTCCAGTCCACACAGAAGCGGTGGACTAGTTGCCAACCTAGCAACTAAGCAAGGCCTTTACGAAGAAATCGGTACTTTAATTTCAGGAAGAAACATAATTTTTGTTCAGTTTTACATCACTCTATTTTTGAACAGTCGTCCTCCTGTCCTGGCGCAATTATTCATGTGAATCCACACCAAAGGGGGGAAGCAGTGGACTCGAGTTTCACTCTTGCTAGAGCTCATCAGCAGTACATAACCAATGGCCGTGCTTGGGTTTGAACTCGGGACGCCTGTTATGCGAGGCGAACGTGTTACCACTATTCCACCAGCGCACGTTGGACTCATGTGAATTCTCACGTCTGAACGGGTGAACGTGGTCGCACTTGAGCGATGTGATTAGTATGCTCGACACATCACTGCGTCAGGACAGGAGGACGACTGTTCAAAACGAGAGTGATGTGAAACTGTACTATACACATCCCGCAAAATTCACACATGCATAAACAGAATTTTCTCACCCATTCTAAATCAGCATGTGTCACTGATCACATTCACCTACTGTACGGAGATATAAGTAGTGGTTAATATCAGCTGACTATTCCAAGAAGCAAATTTTGTAAGTAGTTCTGTCAAACTGATGAAGTCAGCATACCAGTTAAATACGGCCTATCGCTTCATAATGTCTACATTCCAATGTAGCTTGGAAACGGAAAATTTGAATGGTCTACATAAAATATGAACGTCACTAGTGCATTGGAGCTAACTACTCATAATCACCCGTGAGAACAGACAAATTTGCACCCAATCATTTCGGTTGGGAGAGGAACGACTTCACACCCTCAAGCATATGGTGCGCATAATGAATTATGAATTTGGATTCCTATCCAAAATCCGCAACATAGATTACACACATTACTGGCGTGGAGGCTAAAATACTAATTCCGTCCTAATGATTAAATCGACTAATCAATAAATCCACCATTTTGACATAACATCCAAATTAGACACTGTCTAGTCCAGCCGAATAGGGTCTATCAACTTGGCAAATCAAGCCACTCTGGACAAACAAGCAGTGATAAAACGTCTGTCCTAGGATCTTCGGATGGACATCTGAAGGCCAAAATCAAGTAAACCATAAGATTGACGGAAACTCGGGGACTGCGCCTACCGATGAGCCCCGAAAAGGGCGAAACCGGTAGTGGGCTGTTGACGGACTTTCAGCAACCTTGTGAGTAGCTTCCTTTATGAAAGTATGCTGCCATATCTCGAATATCGTGCCAACTGAATCATGAGGCGGTCTGTGTGCAGCACATTCAGTTGTAGAGCATCATAAACGAGAGATTCAGTTGGGTCTCTCGTGAAAACCAAATCGATTTGCAAATGAGTGTATTTCTCGAAATCAACTGTCTTTCACACGCGTCGTAAACGCATCTTTTGTCAGAAGCATGATAATTTACCTGCAGCTTGTGGTGGAAAACTTGGGATTTGCCATTAACTTGCGAGATTTTGACTAGATCATCATCAATAACATTCAGTAAACTTTTTGAGCAGTATTGCATAACTGTTTTTTTATAGAAAACTTCCATGTTATGTTGTTCTGCAAGACAAACCGAATTGGAAAAAGCCTTCTTATGTCAAACCTTCATCTACCAGTCATCATCAGCATTATATTGAGTGATAAACAGTCAGATTTTTTAGAGAGGCTGATAATTTCTGATGCCCATCCGTGAAGTGTAGTGACTAACACAGTGGCTTATGTGTCTGATTGAACATGCATTTTAAGGGACTACTCAGCAGTGTCAAGGAGATATGATTAGGAAATTGAATGATCGATAAAACTACATTAAACATGTCGCCCGGTGTCTATTTCAGCAAGACTTCTTGCAGTTTTAGGAGAAATTGGTTTAAATCAAAGTAGTTTACCGTGCACTGAACACGTGATACATCACACCATTACTAAAGTTAACTATGAGCATTGGGAAGTGAATACTTAAAGTGCCATTCACGTACATTGTGGATACTCATCCCAACAAGCTGAGTCACACGTAGGCAAGCACATCCAATAAACTAGGTTGAAGAATGAAACCAGTGAGTTTGGTGGACTGAAAAACGTCACTGGTGTGCATGTTTCGATCACAAAACAAATGCAACAAACTTCCCAAAATAGTCCACACAAATAAGAGGCTATTTTCCAAAAGAAACTGTAGTTTTAGTCTCTAGAATAGTCTCTGTAATGATCACCTTAAAAGAGACCGCGTAAACAGTTCCTTTAGGATTGTCTTCTTAGAGGAGGACATCTGTTCAACATTGTGGAGCTCTTAGAGGTCAACAGTAATCGAAATGACGGAATCAAGAATAGATTAGCCAGCGATGAACCAACGGAACCAGTCCCGTAAGTTCATTGCAGTTATCATCCTCATGTAAACTTAAACCTAAAAACTTTCCACTCACAATCGGGACAGCCAGACGAATGAGACTCTTGAACTCATTTACCAGCCCCAGTGGAAAACACGCCGTCCAACGCCTTCTCCAACGACTGGCCATTGCATTGTCTGCAAGTGGTGTAGAACCTAGAATACAAAAAAGGTTATCTGAGTTTTCTTAGGACCAAAAAAGTGCATTCCACGTACATGGTCACAATGGTGGTTACAGTTCAACTTTGAGGTGACTCGTCTTTCGAAGAAAACCCCATCATTTAATATACCACTCAGACTGACAACGATGAACAGAGGTCGTATGATTTTGACCGCGTCCCTTCGGAAGTAAAAACATCCAGTAACTAAGATGGGTATTCACTGCAAATTAGAACGATGCTGTCAAAATGTGTAAACCTTCCAATGATACATTCATCCCACTTTCTTCTGGCACTTGCACCTTCTAACTAGTTTGTGCGGCTTCTGTATACAAGCTGTTTATTCCTGGACGAATCAACTGCCAACTTATTTGATTGATTTATTGAATATTTAGTTATCCGCGGTGCTTGTGATTTCGCCCAAAAGTTACCGAAATTAAGCTACCCTTTTGCTTAATTAAAAATCTGGGCGTTTAAGACAGTCAGCGGTTGTCTTAAACATTCTCTTGGTTAATTTAGAACGGTACAATCTGAGCGAAAGTAGCATTTCACTTTTCAACTCCCTTTGTATGTTCCAAACAAACACATGAACAAAACTGATCCGTACAGCGAATGACAATGGTGATAATGGTGACAATAACTATTCACTGCCTAGAGAAGAAAGCCCATGGGTGATTTTCTGGTCAGTCGTGGCTAATTCTTGCGGTATATTCAACACCGAATGCTCCCGAAAGCGCGTGAAAATTCCCGTGTGCATGCGCAACTTTGATCTGAGGAAAAAACCTCGAAATGGTTTTGAGTCAGTTTTCCTTCCAGCCCGATTTTACTACTTTACGTCACATGAAAAACCGACCACAGTTTATGACTACGCACTGCCGGCTCATAGATTTCAGAATACACTTGCAAAGCCGTGTTGCCACCAACAATGTCAATTACTGTCAGCACTGCGTACAATGACCACGACTCCAAAACAACCTATCTGTTGCGTTGCTGTGTTGGTGAGCTGCTTGAACTTATATAACAACCTTGAGGAAAAGAAGGCTTTTAAGAACGAAGATACCCTCAGGGCGCGGTGTCTACAAGGAGTGCAGCCAAGAATGCTTAGGGAAAATCGTTTTTGGTAGTCCTACTTATCAGTAGTTGGTTCCAAACCAACTTGGGTTTATTGCTGGGAAGTGCGATTCTCATGGAAATGGACATCTGCTGACGAGAAACGATAGGAAGCAGGGTTTGAACCACACAAGTATGTGAAAATAACCAGTGAATTATATCTGATGCACCTAGGTGGGCTACCTGAGGGTGTCGCTAATTGTCGTTTATCCGGGAGGTCGTCTGTCTGAGGTGGAAACCAAAAATCTTCGAGTTGTTCTGTCTGACTCTCTCCAAATCACTGTGACATGTCATCAGTTCAACTACAACATAGTTATTGGTTTCTCAGAAGTCAACTGCACACCGATTCGTGCATATGATGCAATGGCACACTTGGATAGGCATAAAAGACTCTGGGTTACAACAAGTATGGTTGAAACTATGAGAAATGAAACGTTAGAAAATCTTGCTATCCGATAATATGGTTGTCAATGATAAATTTAAAACAAATGATAATTCCATTCTGCTGTGTAGGCTTTATTCTCGCCAGAAGAAACTTACCCACCGGGACATCGGAAATTTGATCATGGAACCCGTTGAGTTTCTAAATTTCCTCTCTAAACTGCAAAAACTCGCCGCTTACCTTGACGCCGTTTGGATGGTCTGCCTGCATATCCGCTTCTCGGCTCATGGCGCTTGGATCTTCCGTTATGTTTACAAAATGTTGTGGGTCTACAAATGTGTGTAAAATACAACACCAGGTTGGCACCTTTACTAGGTTTTATAAATTTAGAAACAGTACGGCTCGCCACAAACGAATACACACAAGATGAAAAACTGACACTGCCAATGAGATGCATTTTGGCATTTTTTGTTAGTAAAAAAAATAGGCCAAATCTGCATGAAACACTTGTCAGCTCTGTGGATTTTTCCGATGGCCATGTTGAGCGACATAGCTTTTTAGAAAAAGTACACCCAAAAAAAAACCAGTTCTGGCCGACTGCCTTACTACGGCAGTAATAAAACGGAATTTTGTAATAAAACTGGTGTGTGTGATAAGGCTTACTTTGTTCTTAAGCCCCAAGTGCAGTCTGAATTCCTGTGAACCTCTTGTATAGCCAAGGCTCTCGTGACTGTGCCGGCGGATGGAGGGTTCCCAGTTTGTTTCTCCTTTTTGGCCGCGGCTAACTCATATCTTGATTAACTGGCTAAGAATCCGGTTGCATGTAAGTCTTCCTCCCTGACCGTAATTTTATGGGGCCTTGATGCTATCTTTTTTTCGAGACATTAGAAGATTGTCACCCAAGGTACCTCCCATCAGTGGTAGAAACAATTTACTTTGGTATTGTTCATACTCACAAAATGACGCACACCTCGATTTGCCGTACGTCCTGTAGAAATCTTTACGAATTCACACACACGATGATCCCGCCTTCCGATTTTTATTAGGACCGACTTACTGTATCGGTACTCCGGGCTCTGCCCTAGTGGCATCTACACATAATGAATCTAATGCATGAGCTTTTTTTTAAAATGATTTATTTGTCTGCGAAGCCCACCATCCAGTACTTCTTAAGTTTCTTAGTTGGTGTCGTTCAACAGCCACGCAGTACGATCAGACATAGTAACTAGGTAAAAATGTGTAATGAAGTGCTTGAGATAAAGTGAAGTTCTATGTATGGTATTTTGGTCGCCTTTGGATCCTCAAATAGGGTTCAAATTTGGAAGATGTCTAAAGTACCTAAGAAAATTTTCAGTGTTGCGTTGAACGACCCGGTCCAATCTAAGGAGGAATTTATCTCTAAATGAGTTTAGGGGTTTAACGCATCACTCTCACTTCGGTGCTACAAGAGGTCACAAGGTGCAGCAGTGTGCATAGAGACGTCTTACAGTTGCAAGCTATCTTTTGGAACAGACTTCTGTGTGAAAATTCAGTAATATATTTACCCTTCAGATTGCATGTTAAACGACAATGTAGATTGCAAAGCTGGGTAAAATTCACCATATGGGGTGGAATAAGATATAGGTGACACCGATCGAGACACCAAATTTGGTTAGATTGCCCGTTCCAGCTTGTCGGAGCAATCGAGATGAATCATTCTGAAGTCAGTTGAGTACTAGTGTAACGATGATACTACTGGTGGGGAGGCGTGCTAGTAGTATGTTTTCTTCTTGTAAATTCGCTTTGCGTCTCATGAAAAGGGAGACCTATTGCGGAATTTGTGGAGTCACTTTGTAGCATTTGCTTGGATTTGAGCAACTGTCAATGAATTTCCAGGAAAGTTCAGGAAGACGTGTTCAAGAGAAGATGGATGTTTAGTTTTTGTAAATAAGATGCATGAGAGTCTTGTTCCCCTGTCAGTTGGCATTTTCTACTGAATAATCCCGCAGCGAAGGCCTTCTTCATTTCACTAGTAGGCCCAAGGGTAATCGAATTGGTTATTTTTTCTCCTCTTATATGGGAGACATCCGTCTTTGTTACACGTTTGTGCTACTGTAACCAAGGACAAAAACTATGAAGAAATAGCTTCCGATCCCTTGGACTATCATCATAGATGTCGATTTCAGAAAAGTGTAACCAAAAATGAAGATTGCCTGTAGCGAATAGTAATACCCTCTACTACCGGTCGTCATAAACTTCATCCTGAGAGAATCTACTTTGATTACGATTTAAAGTGTGTGCTAGTGGTAACGTATCAGACACATAAATTCGCCTAAATTCCACTATTTAGATTTTATTTTCAAATGTTTTAAATTTGTATGCTCGTGCCAAGCATCATATGTTGGTCGTACGACAAGGTATTTGTCAGACAGAATGCAAGAACACAATCCCGTATCTCTGAGTGGTAGTGGGAAGAAACCAGGCTCAAGCGCGATTGCATCACATTTGGCCGAAACCTGTCACATCATAGACAAGGAGCAAGCCTTCACCATCATATACCGGGTACCTCTGAACGGACCACGACTGGTACGATCCAAACTACTATCGATCGCAGAAGCGATGAGAATCCGCTGGATTCACAATTTTGCATCCAAAAGAAACTTGTGCGACCTCTGAACTTGAACTGGCCCACGAAACATCTGGTCCCACAATTCTGTCTGACATTGACGTCACTGAGTTGACTCCGTGACCCATTGACCTCGATCCGACCCGCCCCTCCCCTTCCTTTGATTTCTATTTCTCCAAAGTGTATGTAGCCCCGATCTTAACCTTTTCCACGTGATGTCTGGTACCATATAAATTTTGTGATGTTTTAGCCAGGAGGAACAACCACAGAAAACAAACCTTGTTCGCTACCCTCTTCGTTCTCATGTTTTAAATTTATTTTTAAAAATACCCAGGTTTGAAAACGTTGTACTCACGGTCTAGATTTATATGACTAAGCAGTTAGCATGCAGTTTCACAAGCAAACATCTACTAATAGAAAATAAGTTTTACCTTACTGTAGAAGAATTGCCATTCTAATTCACCTTCATCCTTCACTCACTTATAAATAAAAATATACAAACTCCTAAGAAAAGAAGCTTTAAGTTTCTGAATCAAACATTTCTTGGAATATCATCAAATGAAGATAACCGAGTAGTCTGCGGTTTGCCTACCTGGTTGTCCCACATTTGACATGTTCTGTTCGTTGTTAAAGTAAAATCCAGAGGTCTCCGTTCTTTTCGTATTTTGAGCTAAAAATTCACAAGCCACGTGTGCATTAGAAGATCAACTGCTGCGTCAGAATATTACCACACAGTGGTCGTGGGTGGGACCTATTTATGTGGACCTGAGAACAGTGAGTGCAGGAACAGCCGAATCGATTTCATCCTTAGTCGGAGCGCAGCAATTAAGTGTGAGCTACCGGTTATCATGAAGAAGAGAACCCAGATCGATCGTTTCATCCAAGATTAGTTTCGTCAGCTGAACCTTTTGCGGTGATGGATATTGGACACACCTACTGTGACACAAAATGTGTCACAGACGTTGACACTACTCGATAAACAATTACAGTGAGTACACCCAGTATGCCTTGCTAACCTGACAGGGTTCTATGGGTGAAAATATATTCGAATTTGATGTACGGTTGTGAGTGATTCCACAATTTCCATCCGGCTGGACACTCCTTAAAATTTCATCACATTCTGAGGCACCATACTATAGTGTTTGCTGAGGACGTTCAAGCTGTTACTCTGAGTATTCTCTTTGATTCTATTTAACTCTGCGTGAATCAATCTAGTTGAATTTCAGTCAGAAGTATAATAAACCGTGGGCTAATTGCTGCACAAATTATAAACTCTCCGTAAGCAAGGTAAACGATTGGATGTCATACGTAGTTGCACTGTTTGCCGAAACCCGTTACTAAATCTGCTTAACCCTTGGCTCGCCGGTTTCAGCGAGCCGTCGTCCACGGTGTTGAAGGATGCTTCAGGTGAGGCGTTGCTCAAGGTAAGTTTAGACCTTTCCTGTAGGTGAATTCCTTCAATAATATGTCGAATATTGTTCTTTTTTGTATTATCCAGTGGTATGACCAAAATGGCTTCAATAGCTTGTGATGAACAGTTGTCCGTAGTCGGATGAATATCATGCGCATGGCTTGTGACAATAGAGGGCATACTGTCTCAGTCAGTGCGTGAGAAAGACTTTACAGAAAGAGGGAGAGTAATGACCTCAACTTCTCTTACAAACACAGGCAGAAAACTGCGTGGTAAGTGAAGATTAATATTTTTTCTAATAGTTCTCCGTATCCTTTGTGTCCGTGTACCAAATAAACGCATTCAGTAAGGAAAAGCCAACGTTCACTGTGCTTTATTGGGAAAGGCCCTTCCGCTTGTATACGTCACTCTGAGATTCAACGACCTCCAAAGAGCTACCACAGCTCTACGGGAGGCTTTACCCTTAGTGCACTACATCAAGTGGCGTCACGCAAGGCAGTTGTCTTTCATCCTTTCTCTTCCAGTTCGTCATTGATACGATTATGAAAGACATACTGTTAGCCTCCACTGATTGTGGCGTCGAAGTGCTCCCGGGGCATTTGGCTCTAAGATATCGAGTACTTAGATGACACAGCTTTTCTTGGATATGACGCCATCGTAATGCGAAAAATAATATTTGGCATGCGCTTCACACCTGCAAAGTGTAAAGTGATGCTGCAAGACTGGGGGAGCTCGGATCCTAGCCTCATACTTGTGGCTGAGACGACTGAGGCGCTAGACAAAAATGTCTTGGCACTTGTATCAGTCCCAGTGGTATGGCCAATGATGATATCATATGATATCCCACTGTGGGTAAATCTGGCAACAAGCTTCTCTCTGGGTTGCCTAAAGTCACATCTTCACACCGGGGAAACAGTATAGACCTTCAGTATCAAACTTAGGTAACAAAAACGCTTCAGGAAGAAAATTCACGCACTTCCAATGATAAGCATTTCGATGATATCTGGGAGCATTATATCGACGGTTATTCTGAGAGTATAAAGCACTCCATTTACTCTGACAACACGAACACAGTGACAACAAAGTCAGCAGGCATTGGTGATGTATACCACCAAATATTTCACTGTCCGGGGAGAAGAAATATTAGCCAGTAAGGAAGGCTAAGAAACGAACGCATGTTCACCACTGTTTCAAAATGAAGCTAATTCCGAATACTTCGATAAAGATGGTGTAACGGTCTACTCTGGGGAAGTCAACGCGGAACGTTCAAGAGATATTCAGCTGATTTACTGCAATGCGTTATCCAGGGGGAACGCATACGGGCCAGAACGATCCGAACGTGGGCTGCCTAGCGGCTGATAAAATACAAAATGGGTATCCTTATTGAAACGCAAAGATCCACAAGATCCAATCAAATTGCGCTCAGCGTTTCACACAAATATAAAATCAGGTTGGTGGAAATTCGATAATGATCTCAAATAAGTCTCAGGAAAGGTGAGAAGAACTATGGAAGAAATTTTAGAAACCTCACGAGTATTATTTTTTGTCAATAAAACATACCACAATATCTCCAACATCGAACCAGCTGCAACGTAAAGGGCCATCGAATGAGCAACAGTGATCAAAAGAGGATGTATAAGGGACATAACTACAACCTTCTTTGGAGCGGTATTTTCAACATTTCAGTTTAGACATCAAAATGAAGGGCAGGATCTTAAGGAAATAAGCCGCTCCATGATTTCCAAGTGTGGGACGTCTTGGATAGTTCATCTGAGTCTGTGGTATCCTCAATGTTTCATAGACTAGTGACGAGCCACAGAGCCTGAGACCTCATGGTCAACGCATACTCAACTAGTATGCAACCACGATGAAATAGAAGGGTGAACATGTGGTATAAATAGGTCCTACGTCCTCCGAAGCCAACCTCCTTCTTCAAAACCATACGCTTATAGCTTCGAAAAGCTTTGGAGTAAATACACCCAGGTTTGGGTTGAAGCACAATCCCATCAGCTGTGTTGGCCCTCCAACCTTTGTGGACCCATCTTTGGAGAGGCCTCGTGAACAACAACAGAGGCGTTTGCATTAATCAGTGCCACGTTTTGTATGGCTTTTAAGCACGTGCAAATCGACCAAGTGGTTTCCAGCCAAAGGCTTGCATCTAGTCAAACTTATGACCACCTACATTCTGCACCGTCATATCAAGCAGATCTTCAAACAACGCAGTCTCGCAATGTACTATGAGATATTTTATGGGAGACAGTGACTTGTCACTAGTAGCAGATATCCAAATCTTGGTGGCCACGACGAAATTCCCAGACGGTTTCTTGAAAAAACCGGCGGACATCTTAGTGTGTGAGGATGTATGTGTTGAATGAATGTCCGAAACCACCTTTGATCAAATGTGCGTTGAAGACCCAATGAGTCGTCAGAGTTAGCTCGGACTCTGGCACAAATGACATTGCCTAAGTACACTTCATAATTCAAAAACGTGTTCAGTTCACTCCTTACGCAGTCGAAGTTCCACTCATTGTCCATGAGATTGTGCCACGCAAGCCATAGTTAAAAGTTGCGGCATCATGGGGCTAGTATCCGCCTAATTGCAAGTATGAATCCTAATGTCATCGGTCATAAACTCCAATTCTTGTCTTTCATAATAAAAGTAAGGTGACTGATTAGCCTTCATTCCCTTAGACACTTCTTCGTTTTCAAGTGGAATCAGACATTTTACTCTGGGCCAAACACCACGGTCTAATATCTGCTGCGCAACGCTGGAGAAACTTCAGCTAGCTTGGTGACCCTAGGTGCCTCAAACTGACGGTGTACTTTAAACTGACAGACTAATAAAAGATGGAGGAAGAGTGCTAACTATACTGATGGTGAAAATATTTCTTTTGGTTGGAAGGATTTCCAGTATGAACTTTCAATCCCTCAGTATCGCGTGATCTAATGGGTTGGGTATATTGCATCCATACATTCCAAACTGTACTAACTCCCGTCATTTTCGAATTCTTTTACCACACCACTATGTCCATACACAGGCCTTGTTTGAGCGCCACTTCATCAGACGTCTCACGTTGGTCATTTTTCTCGACTTGAAAGCTGCTTTTGATTCTGCCGATCGTTAGCAACTTTGGTAGTGCCTAACGATCAAAGGTGTCCCTTCCTAATTTCTTTCCCATATGAGGACACTGTATCCGAACTCCTATGGGCGCTCACGGGAAGCTCTCGTCTGAGTGTACAACGTCCAGTGGTGTAAGACAAGGCTCTTCTCTCTCACCCATCCTGTTCAACTTTGTTATTGATATACTGTTTGAAATTTCTCTGCCTGCCTCTGAAACCTTAGGAATCGAAACGCTCCCGGGAAGGTACGTTCCCTCACAGACATTGTGTGTGCAGAAGATATTGCTCTCCTTGGTTCAGATCCTTCCCAAATGAAAATGATTTGAAATAACCAAATAACTCTGCTGCACCGTTTGAAGTGCGCTTCGCACCTGCGAAGTGTAAAGTGCTGCTACCAGACTGGGTGGGATCAAACCCACACCCCATGATTGCAGGTGAGTCATTAGACGTGGTAGTTAAATTAGTTTACCTGGGCAGCTGCATAAGTTCCTGTGGACTTGCTAGAGATGAGATTAATTCACGAAGCGAAAAGGCAACGAAAGCTTTTGCCAAACTTAGACACCTATGGCGTCGACGTGATGTGAGGGGTCCATACTGCTTTATGGATGGGACCTTTACGCCCAGGAGACATTCGGAAGATGTCAGTGTTTGATTCTCGGTGTATTCGCAGCACTGGTCAGGTTTGGTGGAAACATCGGATTAGTACTGCTGAGGTACACCACATGGTGTTGGGTAGAAATAAAAATCCTCCACGATAGATGAATTACTCAAGCTTCATTGGCTGCGCTGGTTGGGACATGTTCTCCACATGCCAGAATACCGTCTGCCTCACAGAGCTGTCTTCGCCCAGCCCTGTGCTGAGTGGAAGCGACCGAGAGGTGGAAATTGTATGACCTGACAACGAAGTACGAAAGCACTAACCAGTAAATTTGGTCGGATAGGCAACTGCCGCCTCCCTGGATTAGAACCCGGGACTCAAATCATCAGTGGTTAATGACACTGAGGGAAATGGCCCAATAGCGCAGTCAAAGCTATTTCCTTCACTGCATAGTCACCCAATTCCCGAATAAATTGAACATGCTTTCGCCTCCAAGGCTTGGTTCTTTATCTCTTTTTCCCGTTTTCCGGTGATCGGAACCGTATTCAGGCAGGGAAGAGACAACCACAAAAACTGAA